TCCCTCTCTCTCTCTCTCTCTCTCTCTCTCTCGCTCTCTCTCTCTCTCTCTCTTTCTCTTTCTCTCTCTCTCTCTGTCTCCCTCTCTCCTTGAGCTAATGCATACTGGAATGAACAGGAAATATGTCATTCTGTAACTTCTATGTCTCCAGCAGGGCACTGGAGAAAGGAAGACATTGTGACTGGTGACAAAGATGTAGGGTGGAATGTAGCCTGGTTGGACCCCACTCCTACCCCTGCCTGAAGTGACTTTCCAAAGGGGTCCAATCTCAGTCTCCTTGGAGAAGCAGGGAGAAATGTGGGGAGTAGCGGTTGTCAGCTTTGCTTATTGTTTTCCTGCCAAATGTTGGAGGTCAGTCATGACCTCATAAACAGAAAAGATTTGGACTAAAAGGGGCTGGGTTCAAATCTCAGCTTTCCTACTTACTGCCTGTGTGTTTGTTGGCATATCACTTTATCTCTGTGAGCCTTAGTATCTTCATCTGTAAAATGGGAGGTTAGAAAAGAGGATCTCTAAGATTCCTTCCTATTCTAAATCCTGTCTTTCTTCCAACTTTATGATGTTTATAAAGACTGAAGGGGCCTGAATCCTATAAAGATGCTGTACTGAGCAGGGCCTCTTCTCATGGACTGGGTTCTAGTCCCTGTTCTGCCACCACTGTCTATGTGACATTAAACCAAACACAGATTCCTTTGGTCTCAGTTTTTCTCATCCCTCAAATAGGGATTGTACTTAGAATACTTTCCCTATCTACCACACAAAGTTGTGGTTCAGTGGATAGAATGACCAGCCTGGAGTCAGGAAGACCTGAGTTCTAATCCAGTGCCAGTTATTTCCTAGCTGTGTGACCCTGCGCAAGTCATTTAACTTCTGTCTGTGTCAGTTTCCCTCATCTGTAAAATGGGGAAAATAATAGCACTTACATCCCAGGGTTGTGAGGATACAGTGGGGTAATAATTGTAAAGTGCTTAGCACAATGCTTGGCATATAGTAAGTACTATATAAACGTTAGCTGTTACTATTAGTAAAGATCTGATAATTCTTCAAGTTCTTTGATAAAGTTAAGGAAACACTATAAGAGTTATAGGTGACAGTGGATGGAGCAGGAAGACCTGAGTTCAAATCCAGCCTCAGACACTTACTAGCTGTGTGGCCTTGGGCAAGTTGCTTAACCCTGTTTGCCTCAGTTTCCTCATCTATAAAATGAGCTGGAGAAGGAAATGACAAACTGCTTAAGTATCTTTGCCAAGAAAACCTTAAATGGGGTCATGAAGTGTTGGACACAACTGAAATGACTGAACGACAGCAACGATATTAGAGTTTAAAAATCCGATACCATTTTTTCAATTAAATTTTATCTTTTTAATCAGCAAAAAATCTACCTTCTCTCCTTTGCATCTTCCCCTGGTTGAGAACAAAAGAAAACTGTAACCCTGGTTACAAACATGTATAGTCAAGCAAAACAAATTTCTTCACTGGCAATATCCAAAGCAAAAAATATGTGTGTATGTGTGTGTGTATACATATATATGCGTGTGTATACACACACACACACACACACACACACACACACGTCTATGTCTCTTCTGTAAACCCTTATATTATCAATAGGAAATGAGCTGAAGTTATAGAGGTAGAGATCAAAGTTAGACACAGAAAAGGACTTCCTGGCTGAGAAAGCATAAAATCTTAGAATGGAAGATGCCAGAACAGATAGCAAGAGAGCACTCATCTCTGTCCCTTTGTAGAGGTTTCATCTAGTGTCCTAGAACGTAATTGCTCCCACCTCTGCCTCGTAGAATCTCAGCTCCAGCACCACCTCCTTCCTACCTGAGATATTTCCTTATCTTCCACGTTCCCTCCCTCCCAGTTGCCCTGCATTTACTTCCTATGCATTATATAATCTATATATTTATGTACTTATATGTGTACATAAGAATATCTACTATGTATATATTTTTAAGGTTAGCAGAACTCTTTACAATTGTTACCTAATTTGATCCTCAAAACAACCCTGGGGGATAGGTGCTGCTGTTATCTCCATTTTACAGTTGAGGAAACTGAGGCCTACATTCACACAGCTAGTAAGTGTCCAAGGCTAGATTTGAACTTGTCTTCCTTCCTCTCATCCATTATACTGTGTTGTTTCCCCCGATAGAATGTGAGCTCCTTGAAGGCAGGGACTTTTTTTTTTTAACCTTTCTTTATATGCCTAGTGCCTGGCATACATAGTAGGCACCTAGTAGACCCCTATTGATTGATCGAGAAATCAGCAAGTGCATTAAATGTCCATGAGGCAGACGTGTGCGTGAGAGACGGCATGGCATGTTCTGATGCTGGGTGACATGCAGTCACTTTTGGCCCCCTCTCCCTGGACACCATTTTAGTTTTGGGTCTGTGCCTTTCACAGCTTTCCCAGGGTAGTGATTTTGATTGACCACAGTTGCGAAGGGAGGTTCCCCATTCTGTGAGGCACACAACTCTTCAGCTTTCGGTGACAAGTGGCTTTTTCTGAACATCTTCCGGGCAGGGTAGCCTGAAAGGGTGGAGGGGGGAGGGCAGCCAGGAAGAAGTGTCTAAAGGATGTAGCACTTTCTATGAGCACACAGGCAGCTGTATGGGTCCTGCTGCCTCCCAGAGCCCCACAAAAGCATTCTGTGTGTTGGAAGAATCACTCCCTTGTGTGGGCTGAGTAGGGCATGTGGTTCTGAGAAATATAAATGGCTAGCTCCCCGTTACTCCCCCCACTGCCCTCCCTTCATCTCCCCTTGTGCTTCCTGCAGGTCCAGCCCTGGGGCTAGTCAGTGTGGGGCGGTGGAAAGAACACTGGACCAAGAGCTTGGAGACGAGGGTTTTAGCCCCAGCTCAGTTGTAGATGTGGCACTCGTCAAGGCGTTTTCATTTTCCCTCTCAGGGTCTCAGTTTCTCCATCTGAATATAGTAAAAGGGTTTGTAGATTTTGAGCAGGAAGAGACATTAGAGATTATGTGATTTAAACTCCCATATTTTAGAGCAAAAGAAATGCTGGAGGCCCTCGGAGGTCTTACGGTGTATTCAGTGGCTTACACAAATAAGCAGTGGTTTCCAGATTTGAACTTGGGTCCTCTTGACTTAGCATGAGATAGTGAACAGAGTGCTAAATTTGGAATAGAACATCTAAGTTCAAATCGTATACCTGATGCTTCCTACTCATATGACTTTGGACAAATCCCTTAATCTCTCTGGACCTCAGTTCCTCATGTACAAAACAAAGGGGTTGGATCAGATGGCCTCTGTAGGACACTTCTCACTCCAGGTCTATGATCCTTAGGGTCCCATGACTCCATGGCCAGAACTCTCTCCACGCTGACATGCTGGCTTCCTCTCTTAGGCTCCATTTTTGTGCAGGGTGAGGCAGCTTTCCTAAGCTGGTGCAGGATGACAGGGTTGAGACTCTCAGGGTTTCTAGGCCTGCCTTCATATGCAGCAGAATTTCAGACCATTCTACAGTGAAGGGGAAGTGATTATGTCCAGGGTCACAGCACTGGAGAATTTCAGTGCTGGAAGGACCTCACTGGTCATCAGGCCCAAACTGTTCTTCAGTTAGAACCTGCTCTGTACCATAGTCAATGGGAGAGTTATCCAGGCTTTGTTTAAAAACTCTCCACCCCTCCACCCTTCTCCCGGTGAGGGGTGCTCACTGCGTCTCTCCTGAGATTCCTCATTTCACTCCCTGTTTCTGAATTCATCTTAAATTTGTCCCTTTGCAACTTCTATTCATTTCACCTAATTCTTTCCTTTGATGCTAAATAGAGCAATACTGGAAAACAGTGGTCATACATTCCTTGAGTCTTCTTCCTTCCCTCTGCCCCCTTGTTTCCACCTGCCTCCTGGTTTCTCTGGCTTCCTTCAACACTCAGCTCAAGCCTACCTTTGGCAGAAGGGCTTTCCTAGGCTCCCATCTCCCCAGATGTTACGTCTTCTTTCAGAGTACCTTCCCTCTATTCTGTATGTATCTTGTTGTGTGTCTAGTTGTTACATGCTGTGCTCCCTCTTACAGTGTATGCCCTCTGAGGGCAAGAACTGTTTTTGCCTTTCTCTGATCCTTAGCCCTTCTGTCACGGAGGGCAGCTAGGTGGTACAGTGAAGAGTGCCTGGCCTGGAAGTCAGGAAGACCTGAGTTCAAATGTGGCCTCAGACACTTAATATCTATGTGACCCTGGACAAATCACTTAGCCCTGTTTGCCTCAGTTTCCTCATTTGTAAAATGAACTGGAGAAAGAACTGGAAAGCCATTCCCGGTATCTTTGCCAGGAGTCAGACATGACTGAAAACAACCAAACAACAATAGCAATAATCCTTAGACCTTGGCACAGTGCCTGGCACACAGTAAGTGACTGATTGACTAAATGAAATATTCCCAGTTCCTTCAGTTGCTTCTCATAGGGCATGATCTTGAGGTCTCTTTACTATCTAGGCTGCTATCCCTTGAACAGATTTTACATTATCACTGTCCTTCCTAAAATATGGCACCAGGTCACACAGTGAATTAGTGGCAAAACCAGGACCAGGAAAGAGCCGGGTTTTCCCAGGGTGTGTACACAGAAAGTCAGAATTGGAAGTCATGATGATTGCCTTGGTGCCTGTTGGGGTTAGATCTGAGACTGGTTTATGGGCCCCTGTCTCTATCTGAGTGAGTCTGAGGTCTTATAACATACCACCGAGGGGAGGGGGACTACCTCCTCTCCGCACTGGCTTTTTCTCTGGCCTCTTTGCCTGCAGTGAAAGCAACATGGCATGGATTTGCCATAACCTAGAGATTCTATTCTTTATTATGGAAAACAAGAAGTTTGTGTTTCTCTCCTGCATTTTCAAAAATCTCTTATGGTTCTACCAATCAAATACGCTGTGGTCAGCAGGTGTTTGAGTGGGTGAGGCGGGGCATTGGAAAAAGGGGAAATTGCATGCCTTAAGAAACATTAAATATACTGCCCCCAGCCCAGATCCTCGTTAGGCAGCTAGCTCTCCTTCCCCTTAGAGGTTTCTGTTGTGAGGCCACTTGTCTGTGGAGGTTTGCAAAGCAGTCCACTCAGTGTGAGGTATCAGCCCCAGCTGGTTCTGGAGAGGTCCCCTGAGGCCTCTTTTTGCGTTGGAGACTGCCCAGCCCTGTGCAGAGGTCTGGAGGGTCGGTGGACCACCGGCAACCTTGGGTACCTGGCCTCTCAGCGGCAGTCCCACAGGCACGCCTTCCCAATGAGGCTGCACCTGCTCACCTCTATTTCTGGAGGGGCCTTGCCCTGGTTTGGGGGGGACCGGAGAAGGCTGGCAGGTGAGCACATCAATTTACAAAGAAAGGCTGGGGTTCCAGAGGTGTACTGGCTTAGCTGGGTGAAGAGGGATCATTAAAAGGTGGGTTGGGACATTGAGCTCTTACCTGTAGTGAATTTCATTTTATTTCATTTTCTTTTTAGCTGTCTGTGAGAGCTGTAGGACAAGGAGATAGGGCATTACACCCACCCCAGATATGATGTGGATGGGACAGTTCCATGGCATGGAAAGCCAAATTCGGAGTTCTAGCAGCCTAATATTGTGGAAATAAGTCCAGAGAGGCTAAAGCCTACCTAAAGACAAGGTCACAAAGCTCAGGGGGAGGCAGAACTGGGATGAGAACCCGGGTCTCTTAAGTCTCCACCCAGGGTTCTTTCCTTTGTAGCATAAAGTCAAGTTTCCCATTTACCTTTCCTGTTTTCTCAGGTTTTTTTTGGGGGGGGCAGTAATTAGATTAGGACAAGTGATAGGGTATTTAATTCAACAAGCATTTATTGAACATACTTTATTCCTGTCCCTGGCTTCTTGTTCTTTACCGTTTCTCCTTCCTACCCTACCTCTCCCTCCAAACCCCCCTCCCCCAGCTTCTCAGTGCTATTAGATTACAGTGTGAATTTCTCATTGAGTTAGTTGTGCCTAGAAATTCACTGGAGTGAGTGAGAAATCCTCATTTCCTGATCCAGGCCAAACTCAAGAGGTAGTATGAGGTGGAGGGTCCAGCACAGAAACTGTAGCTGTGGAGCTATGTTCCCCCCCCCCTTTGCTCACGTGCCCCCCCCCCATTTTATTGACAGTCTGTTTTAATGGGAAGTCTTACTTGCCTGCAAAGGCGATGATTGGGTGCTTGCTGCAAAGCAGCTGCATGGTGTAGATGGAAATGGTGATGATACTGTGTGTTTATATGGTGGACTTATTTTCTTGGGGTCCTCAGAGAGCTTTATAGGAATAATGACTATTACCGTAATACTGATGGTGTGGGTGTTTAGAGAGAGGGCTGTGGAGTGATGATTTTCCTTCCACAGCCAAGAGAATAAAGCATGATTGTTTTACCAAACTCTATCCAGATAGGGACAAGATGGTAACCCAGTTAAATTCCATTCAATTTAATTCAGGTCATCCCTTAAGTCTGTATATTTTCAAGATATTTTGCCAGGTACCTGGAGAAACAAAAACAAACAAAAAGAAACAGCTCTGGCCATGGAGAATTTACCTTCTACTGTGGGTATGCACAAAGATAACTTCGAGGAGTATAGAGAGTACTGACTGAGGAGAGTCAGAAAGTAGGCAATCCCTCAGCTGAGACTTGAAGGAAGAAAAGGATTCTAAAAGGCAGAGAGGATGAAGAAGTACATTCCAAGCCGGGGGACAAATGCAAATGTAGGAAATGCAATGTTGAATTCAGGGTTCAGCTCGTAGATTCACTGGAATCTAGAATGTACCAATAGGGGTGGTTTGAGATTGAGTTGAAAAGGTAGGTTGGAGCCAGATTATGGACGGCCTTGAATGCCAAGTTGAAGAGTTTGTATTTTATCTTAGAGATAGAGAGTCCCTAAAGATTTCTGAGCAAGAGCGCTCTCCTTGTCCTGTCTGTGCCTATTTTGACAGTAGTGTGTGGCAGATGGGTTAGGAAGGGGGAGACTGAATGCAAGGAGACTGATGAGTAGGGTCTTAGAATAATCCCTGAGAGAGGTGATGAGGTCCCGACCCAACCCCCAGTTCCTAGCCTGAGTTCTCCCCATTTGCCCCCAGATCATTCACTTTGGGACTTGGCTTGCCTCCACACTCCCCTAGGTTGTTAGTATTGGACAAGCGCCAGTGCCGCCAGCAAGGGTGTTTTTCATAGCTTGTTCAATGATGATCAGCCAGCAACATTATTTTCGAACTAAGTAGATACCAAGATGTGTATTAGTCATCATGGGGATGGAACTTAAGGGGCAAGTGCTTGCCTTCAAAGAGCTTGTGGCCTAATTGAGGAGACAGAAAACATATGCATGATAGATATTTTAGAAAAGTTAAAATACTCTATAACTTCCCCTCCCAAAAAACAAGGACAAAGAGAAACAGAAGCCATCCTTCTCTCTCTCTCTTTTTTGGGGGTGGGGGTGGGGCAGGGAGGCTATCAGGGTTAAATGACTTGCCCAGGGTTATACAGCTAGTAAGTATCTGAGGTTGAATTTGAATTCAGGTCCTCCTGACTCCGGGACTGGTGCTCTGTCCACTGTACCACCTAGCTGTCCCCCTTCTCTTCTTTTTAAGACACAAGTCAAACACTATTTTCTTCAGGAAATTTCTTTTTTTCCTTTTTCTTTCTTGCCTGATTCCTCCAACTATCAGTGCCCTTCTTCCCAAACTACCTTATATTTAACTACTTTGTATATATTTTCATTTATTCACTTTATGTTTATGTTGTATATATTTTTTATGTACTTGTCTTTTTTATAGGAATATGAGCTCTTTGTGAGTGGGGACTGTTTTCATTCTTTGTGTCTGTAACTCCAGCATCCAGCAGAGGGCCTGTCACATAGTAGGTGCTTAATAAATACAGGTTGATGGATTAGTTGTGCTAGATTTCCTCCTTATTTTATACATGGGGAAATTGAGGCCCAGAGAAGGGGAAGGGATTTCCCGAGTCGTTCTGCTGGGTTTTGGCAGAGCTGAGTCTGGGATCGAGGTCTCCTTACTGTATTGTTGAAAACTCTGTGTGGTACACTACTCTCTCTGTCGAAAGTCCTTGTGCTTTGATAAATGGGGACAAATACCTTAGGATTATGTGCAGGAAAAGAGCACTGAATTTAGAATTGAAGACTCAAATTCTGGCTCTGTAGCTTGCAACTTGTGTGACCTTGGGTAAATAAATTTCTTATCTCCTCTGGGCCTCAGTTTCCTCCTATGTAAAATGAGGGCTGACTAGATGACCCAAGGTCCCTTTGGGCCATAAATGTATGATTCAATGATCTATAAATAGCATTTATGCAGTTATTCATGCCATTGTGCCCAGGGTATACTCATTTTGGATCTTGGCGCAAAGGAAAAAAAAATTACAGCAGAGGCTGTACCCTGTGGTGGAATTAGCATCCATAGTCCATATCAGCAGTGAGAAGACTTGCAGCCAACTCATTACCAGAACTAGTTCAGAAGATTTTTCTTATATCTAGGTCCCATGCTATTCAAGTTTCAAAATTCTAAAAGTTGAAAAACAGTGTTAAGGAAGACCTAGGTAGTGAATAATGGGTCAAAACAAGCAAATAGATGGACAGCCCAGAGAGGCACCGCCCACCTTCAAAACCAGAGAGCCTCATCCTTTAGTGTACTTGAAACATATTTGTAGAGATATTTTTTAAAAATTTAAAAACATACCCGAATAACTGGAGGAAGAGAACATGTGGGATGCTTCTGGGACAGGCTTTGGGATGATCTTTCTCAGATGCTAATGATCATAGGATGGGGCAGAGGGTGGAAGGGACCTCAGGGGCTGTCTAGTTGAACCTCCCTCATTTTTACAGGAGAAGAAACTGAGGCCCCTGGAGGGTAAGTGACTTGGCCAAGGCTACACAGGCAGTAGGCATTGGAGGTAGAATTTGAACCAAGGCCTTCTAACTTCTGAGCCAGTATTTTTTTTTTATGTTGTATCATGAGTTTTGAGTGTCTCACTATGATTTCAAGGAACGTGTGGTTTAGGGCAACTAGTTTTCTAAAGGGAGGTAGTTCTTCTCTCCCCTGCCCCATAGTTGTAGTGCATTGCCAGGGCTGTATGAAGTTCTGCATTTCCATTTATATAGACCTCCTTTTCTCATTGCTTGGCCCTGCTCAGGAGCCCCGGGTGCCCAAACCCAACCGTCCATCATTTGCTTCCCCTCCATTGGCAGGCCACTGATCTCCAAGCTAAGGAAAGCTCATCCTTACTGACCCTTTGTGGGAAGGCTGCTTGCTCATCCCCTGCGGCCTGCTCTAGGAATTGAAAGGTAAAACCCCAATCTTTCTCCTGCTTCCCTTCAGCCCCTAAGCTTTCCCGACCAGGAATCCACGCCCCACCCCTTCAAGCCTCTGCAGATCTCATCCACCCAAACACACCCACAGCCCTCCCTGAGCACTCCCGCCCCAGCTCCCTTCCCTGCTGCACGGAGGTTCAAAAGTTCAAGTTTTTCACATTTCACGGAGGCTATTTCCAGACGTTCCGAAGAGAGGAACAGCCTGCCTGGAGGAGCTGAGCAGGGTGGAAAAAAAGCGCTTTCCCCTGATTTCTGCCACATACAGAGTTGACTGTAAGAGAGATGGATGGCAAACTTGGTGCTGGGGGAAAAGATGGCTTGTAAGGCCCAGAGGATGTCCCTGAGCTTGGAAAATTGCCACCATAGGAAGAAGGGCATCACAGAAAAGAGTGTTTCTCTGGGCACAGGAATAGGACCAGCCTCATAGACAAACCTATGGATACAGGCAAGCTTCAGGATCCCCTAGTTTGACAAGCATGTAGAATGTTAAGGAACGTGGCGATTATTAATAGAACTTGGCTCCCAAGCTAAATTTTTTTCTTTCTGTTGCCTTGATTTGATGTGTGCCTGAAAATGTCCCTTCCCACTTTTCTAGCTAATTAGGGAATAATAACAGCACTTACTTCACACAATTGTTGGCTCATCAAATGAGATAATGAATGTAAACTGCTTTGTAAACCTTAGAGTAATAGATAAATTTAACTCTTCTTAGCTTTCCTGTTTGGGGAATCCTGGATTAGAGTCAAGTAAACATTAACTGAGGATTGTGTTTCTGTTATCTATCCATGAATCAATTAGACTATAAGTTCATTGAGGGTAGGAACCACCTTCTTTCTTGGCTACTCTCATAGACACAGTAAACCTGGGTGGATTGAGTGGTTAATGTGAGCTAATCTTACCTCCCTCCTTTTTTCTTCACCCCTACACCTCCTACCTCTTGCCAGACCTCTAGATATAGTCTTGCAAGCACTAGTGGGTCTTATGTTAGTGGGACTTGCTAAACCCAAATTGA